TCTTTTTATCTTTCCTTTACTTTCTTTGCTTTTTTTTTCTTTTTAGAAAATTTGAGCATGTCAGTTTCATTCTTTTAAGTACAAGTGGTAACATTTAAGTATTAAAAAAAACACACCTGTGTCAGGGACGGACATTGCCCAGCAAATTCGATATGTGAAAACTGACTGTACTAGCAGACTTACATAATACTGTCCTTGGGGTCCATGTTAAGATGACCTATAAAGATATCTGCTTTTTATTGTGGTACAACTAAATTCATTTGAATGTGATCCAAGATAAATTGGTTTTATATTATATTCTGCTCAGGATGACTAGGGATTATAGAACTGGCACTGGATTCAGAGTCAGAAAATATTTTATTTTCTTGACTCTGATTTTAAATGTTCAATTTAAATTCTCTATGTTTCAATTTTCTCATTTATTTTTAAATGGACATGAATATACTTTTTTCCTGCTATACTGCCATAGGTTAATCAAGGGTCAAATATGAATGTTCTTTGCCAAAGAATAAAGTTTGAGGTATTATCTTTCACATAAATATTTTGAAAAGTGCACTTTCACCTCTATTTAAAAAGGTAGAAAGTGTCAGCTATTTCCTATGCCATGCTTGTGAAACAGTGATGTGCATACCACTCTGTCACCTAGACTGGAGACACAGTTTCTTAGGAGAAACTGTGTGGCATGCTGTAATGCCACAATATGAGCACAGGACATTTTCACACAGTGTCAACATCACATTAATATATGGGCAAAAGTTTGATACTTTGATAAATAATAATGATATCTTGTATTAATCATGAGCATACAAATTTCTCCTGAGTTTTAACAACGGCACAAAAAAATTCAGTATTTTGCCAAGTGTCAAGTAGCTTCAATAATACCTTGAGAACAATGAGGCATATTTATTTATGTTCTTCTCTGCTACTCAGGATAGTTAGGCAGAACATTTTGAGATGCCCTAGTCCTGTATCAAAGTATCAAACTCTTCTGATTCATATATGAGGCCTTCCGTAATACTGGATCTAATTGTCTATTGATTCTTTTTTCCACTACGCCCTATGTCTCAATCGATATACCTGACTGGTATATCTTCTTTAACCCATTGCAGAATGACTTTGAGGAGATATTGTGTATTTTATAAACAGTTCAGGCTGGGCATAGTGGTTCACACCTGTAATCCCACCACTTTGGGAGGCTGAAGCAGGTGGACCACCTGAAGTCAGGAGTTCGAGACTAGCCTGACCAATATGGTGAAACCTTGTCTCTACTAAAAGTACAAAAATTATCTGGGTGTAGTGGCATGCGCCTGTAAGTCTCAGCTGCTTGGGAAGCCGAGACAGGAGAATTGCTTGAACCAGGGAGGCGGAGGTTGTAGTGAGTCAAGATCATGCCCCTGCACTCCAGCCTGGGCGACAGAGTGAGACTCTATCTCAAAAAATAAAAAAAATAAATAGATAAACAATTCATTCCATAATATACTAGCATCCTTCCCTGTATTAAACTTGATTTATCACTCGGTACCAAGAAGAGGAAAATAAGCATATTTAGTGTGTATATGGGAGGGGAGGCAAGCATAAAAACTAAAAGGTTGAAATGACTTTAGTTGCTCAGCTCCTCTATTTTTCCACCCTTGGATCCATGGTACATTTTTTAAGGTCTGATCATCCTTTTCTTCATTGTGAAAGTTTTCCATATCAGATGATTATAACATGAATCTTCTTATACCATGGCTTATTTGTGAGCATTCTCAACTTCCCTATAAATTAAATTTTTTTTAAAAGTTGCAAGGGTGCAGATGAGTGTCAGGAAAGCTTGTTAACAAGACTGATGTTCATCCATGTTGACAATTGCTAAATAGTATTTCATCATATTGATATGTATCAATTTACTTATTTACCTATTGATGGACATTTGGATTAATCCAATTACTGGGCAATTATTAATAAAACTGCAATGAATATTCATGAGAAAGTCTTTGTGAGACTGTATGGTTTCATCACTCTTGGGTACATAACTAAGACCAGAACTGATGGTCAAATTGCAAGTTTATGTATAACTTTAAAAGAAAGTTCTCAACAATTTTCCAAAGTAGGTTTTACCATTTTGCATTCTTATCATCAATGTATGAGAGTTCCAGCTGCTCCACATGTGTACCAATACTTAGTGATATCAGCCTTTTTTTTTTTTTTTTGAGACAGAATCTCGCTCTATTGCCCAGGCTGGAGTACAATGGCATGATCTCGGCTCACTGTAACGTCCACCTCCCAGGTACAAGTGATTCTCCTGCCTCAGCCTCCTGAGTAGCTATAATTACAGGCGCCTGCCACCATGCACGGCTAATTTTTGTATTTTTAGTAGAGACAGGGTTTTACCATGTTGATCAGGCTGGTCTCGAACTCCTGACCTCGTGATCCGCCCACCTCAGCACCTGAAAGTGCTGGGATTACAGGCATGAGCCACAGCACCCAGCCGATATCAGCCTTTTAAATTCTAGTTTTTGGATGATTTTGCAGTGGTATCTTCCTGCATTTTTAGTTTGTATTTCTTTGTTGATAAAATTAAGCATCTTTTAATGTATTTATTAATCATTTATACATGCTCTTTTGTGCAGTCACTGTCACACAGTTTGTGTACTTTTAATGGACCTGTTTACGTTCTTACTAACAAGTTATAAGGTATATATGTATATGTTGAAAGTATTATCTTCAGATCTGTGACTTGCAAAATTATCTCAGATCTGTATTTATAGAATCTATAGTGATGTCATCTCTTTCATTTTTGATAGTTGCTATTCGTTTCTTCTCTGTTTGGTCTTGGTCAATCTGGCTAGCAGTTTATTAATTTTATCAATCTTTAAAAATAATTATTTTTGGTTTAATCAATTTCCTCTGTTGATTTTCTATTTTCAATTTCATTTATTTTTGCTTGTATCTTAATTGTTCCAATTCTTTTAGCAAGCTTTAGGCATATTTCATTTGGACTTTGCCAGTTTGTTCAGTTGGAAGTTTAGATTTTTTATGTGCTTCCAATTTCACCCTCCCACCTTTGAACTTTGCTGTCATATATTCTATTTTCCACATGTGCTATAAACACTGATTCAAAGCCTCTAATTTTGCTTAGGAAGTGCAAATACCTTTTGGAGAAATTAAAAACAAAAATCAAATATATATATTTTTAACTTTCATTTGTGTAATTTTCATTTTCATTGCTCTTCATTAATTTATTTATATTTAAGTTTCTGTTTGGGGTACTTACTTATTTATTTTGCAAAGCCGTAGAAACCATGGGGCATTTTTTTTTTCCTGACAGAAGTTTTTAAGAATATTTCTCATTAGACAGAGTCATTGGTCATAAGTTCTCTAAGTAGTATTTTTCTCTGGGAAAAAAAAAAAGTTTTTTTCTTTATTTTTAAATGTATTTTTATTGATAATAGAATTCTGGGCTCACAAAGTTTTTTTAAAAGCACTTTAATGTTGCCAATTCATTATCTTCTGGTTGATTGTGTATTATCAAACAAGAAGACTGCTGTATTTCTTCTTTTTTTTTCATTTTTATTTTTTTGAGACAGGGTCTCACTCTGTCACCCAGACTGGAGTGCAGTGGCCCGATCTTGGCTCACTGCAACCTCCACCTCCAGGCTCAACCGATTCTCCGGCCTCAGCCTCCCAAGGAGCTGGGATTACAGGTGTGAGCCACTACCACCAGCTAATTTTTGTATTTTTAGTAGAAGCTGGGTTTTACCATGTTGCCCATGCTGGTCTTGAACTCAAATAATCCGCCTACCTCAGCCTCCAAAACTGCTGTGATTATGGGAGTGAGCTACTGCTCCTGGCCTGAACTTCGTAGAATTGTTCTTCTATACATAACATGTCTTTTTCTTCTGACTGCCTTGTTTTATTCTTTGGCTCTTGGCACTTTTAATATGTTGCACCTAGTATTTTTTTTATTAATTTCTGTTCTCCAAGTTTTTGGTTTTGTGATCTAATTTATTACATTAAAAAATTCAACTATTCCTTAAAATATTTTTTAAATATTTAAAAATATATTTTGCCCTTCTTCCCTTTCTAGTATCCCAATTACACATCTGTTAGACTGTTTGATATTGTCCCATTGCGCAGGATTCTCTGTCATTTTCTCTCTCTCTCTCTCTCTCTCTGTGTCTCTCTCTCTCTCCTCTTTGTGTCTTAGTTTGGGTTGTTATTTTTTACTTATCTTGAACTTTACTAATATTTTCTTCAGCTATATTGAGTATACATATATTTGGGCCCATTGAAGGCCTTCCTCATCTCTGTTACTATGTTTCTGTTTTTTTCTAGCATTACTATTTGATTCTTTCTTATACTTTTCATCTCTTCAAAATACCTCATCTGTTCATAAAAGATGTCCACCTTTTCCTCTAGAGCCTTTAACATCTTAGACACAGTTATTTAAAATTCACTGATAATTCCAACATCTGGGCCTTATCTAAGTCTAGTTTTGTTGATTGCTTATTGAGTTGTATCTTAACCTTGGTGTGTGTTTGGGGGTGGGTGGGTATATACGTGTGTGTGTGTATGTGTGTGTGTGTGTGTGTGCATGTGTATTTTATACACAGGCATCATGTGTAGGCATGTAGAGGTTGAGAGAAATATTATTGATGCCTGAAAATGGACAACCGTCTTTCCTGGACAGTGAGTTAAGGTCATGAGTATATCTAGCTGGCAGTGAAGCTGGTTTGTTTCTTTGTTTTTTTACACCTCCAGGTTTAGGTGGGTGCTCCACTGTTACTTTGTGCTTGAGGATCGAGAGCTGAATTACAGGAGGGTTTTTCTCCATGTTCCTAGACGACTTTCAGCCTTAGACTTCCCCTACATGTGGAATATCTTCACGTTCTTGACCGTCTCCCAATGGTTTTTTCTTATTATTTTGTGCTTATGGACCTGAAAGCTGATCCAAAAGGGGCGAGGGTGGGGATAGACAGTTATACTTTTGTGTTTTCTGTTGTCCTGGTTTAGTCTTAGGTAGGCTTTGTGACCTTGGCTCTTGAGGTTGTGTCTTTCTCAAAGATCATGTCCTGCCCTAAGCAGTAAGGAATCTCATTTGCTGCTCTTCCCTCGGTGGTTTAGGCTTGTGTATTGTAAGGAAGAAGGATCGAGGTGAAACTCTCGCTCCACAGTGTTGACTATTCTTCTCCCACAGACTGGCACAAGGGAGAGCGACACTTGAATATGTGGTGAGATGTGTGAAGAGCATGACAATGGATGCAAACACCCTGGTAATTGCTAATCTATTTTACTTCTATAAGTTTTTCATTTTTAAGACATTTTATTTTGTCATTTCAAGAATGCAAAAGACATAAGTAGAATTGGAATGTGTAACCTTTTGAGATTGGCTTGTATTATTGCCTTTCAGATTCATTAAAATGTTTACATGTATAACTCACTGTTTCTTTGTATTACTGAGTAGTATTCCACTGTATCCGGGTACCACAGTAACTTCAACCAGTCACCTGTTGAAGAATTTTTTTCCAGTTTTTGGTTATTATTGATAAACCTGCTATGAACATTTATGTGAAGATAAGTTTTCATTGCTTTGGGATAAATGTGTAGGAATGCAATTATTGGGTCATCTGATAAGTGTGTATGCGTTTATAAAAAACTGCCAAACTATTTTCCAGAGTGGCTGTACTCTTTTACACCCCCAGCAGCAATGTATAAAAGATACAGTTTCTTTGTATCCTTATTAGAATTTGATAATCTCACTATGTTTAATTATAACTGTTTTATTATATACATAGTGATGGTCAATTGTTTTTTTAATTTGTATTTCCCTAATGGCTAATGATTTTGAACATCTTCTTTTTTTTTTTTTTTTTTTTTTTTTGAGATGGAGTCTGGCTCTGTCGCCCAGGCTGTGGAGTGCAGTGGTGCAATCTTGGCTCACCGCAAGCTCCGCCTCCTGGGTTCATGCCATTCTCCTGCCTCAGCCTCCCGAGTAGCTGGGACTACAGGCGCCCACCACCACGCCTGGTTAATTTTTTGTATTTTTAGTATAGACGGGGTTTCACCGTGTTGGCCAGGATGGTCTCGATCTCCTGACCTCGTGATCCGCCTGCCTCAGCCTCCCAAAGTGCTGGGATTACAGGTGTGAGCCACCGCGCCTGGCCGAACATCTTATTATGTACTTTTTCTATCTGTGTATTCTCTTTGTTGAAAATTCTATTAATGTCTTTTGCCATTTTCTAATTAGATAGTTAAAAGCTTTTTTTTTTTAATACTTAGAGAGTACTTTATATATTTTAAGTATGGTTTACAAATATTTTTTCCAGATTTTAGCTTGTCTTTCATGTTCTCTACAGAGATTTTGTAGAGAAAAAAACTTTAATGAAGTCCAGCTTATCTATTTTATTATTTTAGTGATTGCATTTTGTCACGTCTAAGAACTCTGCCTAATCTTCTACCTCAAAGACTTTTTCCTTCATTGTCTTCTAAAAGCTTTATAATATTATATCTTATGATAAAACCGTTGGTTCATTTTGAGTGAACTTTTATAAAGTGGAGGTTTTATTTCAAGGTGTATTTGTTTTGGTGATAGATATCTAATTGCTACATCACTTGTTGAAATGTATACATTTTAGCTGTAAGAATAATTATTTAATAATTAAAAGCATATCAATTGCTTACAAAATTTATAAAAGGTACAAAAGGTGCTAGTGACTATCTTATTTTATGTGCAAAAGCCTTTTGGCAGTTACTAACATGGTGGTATCATGTTGATAATTGTAACAATATTAGCATGATGAGACTATTATGAGCACAAAATTTAATTTCTTCAGGCAATACTGATAAAGAAGAACAGTGTAGAAGAAAAGTAGAATGGAAACAAAGCAAAGCAAATCTATTGCACAATTTTAAGGGTCATTAACATTTGATTGGGAATATTATAGCACATAATATATTATATTTTTAAAATATAAACATGCTGTTAAACAATGTTATTTTTAAAAGTTTGCCTTGTTTCTCTTGTGCTTTTCCATATTCTTACATTAGATACTGTTTTTTTCCAAAAACTAAATCTGAAATGACTAGGGCATGCTTCTTATACTCCTTCTGCATCTGAATCTTCTTTGTCTCAGGGTAAACTTTCTTACTACTCAAGGAAGCTATAAAATATGTATATCACTGCCACAATTTTTTATTATTTGGAGATAAAAATGGAACCTAGAGAACTGATATTTTATCCAGTTGAAATGAACCAATATTAAATAACCTGGAACCCTCCAGCAAAAACCATGAAGTTTTAGATTTTTCATCCAAAGAAATTATACATTACCTAACCAAAGGTACAATTATAAAAGTACCTAACCAAAATGACGGCATTATTGAGTGGGAGTAGAGTTTTACAGCTTAAGAGAAATTTATAAAGTTTTAAAATATGAAATAATATTTAATAATCATTTTATTAGCTATTTTTATTAATTATGCAATTTATTATTATATACTTAATATACAATATATAAAACAAAAATTGATTTGTATCATTTTTATAAAATATATTTTATTTTAAAGATAACTAAAAATTGAGCCACTTGAAGAAATACACCATATACTTAGACATCCAAAAATTGGGTTATAGAAAGGGTATATAATATTTTAATTCAGATAGAATTAAGCCCTATCATATTAGCAAATAGTACAGTTGCAAAGAAATAATAGTTTTGATGCAGACAGCATGTCTAATAGATTGGGCAATAATTATTTATTCTGAATAAATGCTTTTCTGTATTCCTGACAAGCTGTATTCATTGTTCAAAATTACTAAATTGCAGTTTATTGTTAATTTGAAAAGCCTACATTTAGAAAGCCCTTAAATTGTAATCGTTTGTGTGCTGTATTTGTTGAAATGCTGTAAAATATTTAAAGCTATGTATGTCTATTTCAGGATTGATATATATGTTATTTACAACATGTACTTTAAGCTGCTTCTCAGTATCCCATTAATTGGAATAGGCAAGTGTTACGTATAAATGAATGCCTTAGTAGCTTCATTACTTTTAAATCTTTTTACCTGAAAAACTTCTAGCTCAAATATCACAAAATGACTTAGCATATTATTTCTTTATGTCTTTATACTGACAGCATAGAGAAAAAATAAAATTACTTATCACAACCACAATACTTGTAAGCAAATAGGTAAAAGAACAAAAAGTGTGAAAAGATATGGTTCAGAGAAGTACAGGGTTAGGAAAAGGTGAAAATCAAGGGGTCATTGCCATGGCAACTTGTCTGTAGTCTGCCTCAACAGCTACAATTCTCATATGACCCTCATATTTCTTCTCTTCATATACAAGGAGAAATCTCATTCTTCTCTCTTCCACATTCTTAATTATATTTAGGTCTTACTCTTCCAGAAGAAAAAGGGAAAACCGAACCTGAATGTCCCCTGAAAGTGAAGAAATGTCCACACTTCTATGTGCAGATTGGTAAGAACTTTCCGTTTCCATTTTCCTCCTTCACTGGAACGAAGTGAGTGCTGGTAAAATTGCTTCCTTTTACCCCCGGCTGGTGATCGACGCAGATGAGAACAATTGGTATTACTAGTGATGATTGATTATTTCTCTCTGGAGTATCTGAGGGAAACCCAATAACACTTCCTTTTAGGTCAAAAGGAGATACTGGGGCTTAGAGCCCCTCTTGGTTTAATATATGTGCTCTGGGGTATTTTCCGGTGACCGTCTTCAACAAGCAAGAAAAGAGAAAAAACAACTTGGTTGAGAGTTATGTTCCTGCTATGTATTATCTACCTATGCATGTAATATTGAAGATTTCATTCAATGGGTTATAGCAACTCATAGCAAACTGGCAGCAGAAATAGTCTTTGATTTTTAAATAAAAGTTCTCTAACTGAAACTTTTTGATACTGGAATTATCTTCCTTTCCCTTTCTATTATTCTCTTATTGAGTTATAAGGAAACAGAAAATAGAGAGATTCAGCCCAGCAGTATGCTTTTTTTTGTTTTGTTTTTTGAGGCAGGGTCACACTCCGTCACCCAGGCTGGAGTGCGGTGGCCCCATCTTGGCGCACTGTAATCTCCGCCTCCTAGGTTCAAGTGATTCTCCTGTCTCAGCATCCCAAGTAGCTGGGATTACAGGCATGTGCCATGAGGCCCACCTAATTTTTGTATTTTTAGTAGAGAAGGGGTTTCACCATGTTGGCCAGGCTGGTCTCAAATCCCTGGCCTCAAGTGATCTGCCCACCTTGGCCTCCCAAAGTTCTGGGATTATAGGCATGAGCCACTGTGCCCAGCCAACAGTATACTTTTAATGGAGTAAAGTGAGACCCAAGTTGTCTCATTCTAAGTCACACTAGAATAAAATTTATATAGAATTTATAAAGAATAAGATATTGGCAAGGACTCTGAGATAGATGGCACTGTTATTTGGAATTGCTTACTCTCATACTTAGAGAGAGTGAATACATCACTGCCCATTGCCATGTGATGTGCAATGCTCCTTCCTGAGAGAGTCTTACTTTTGCTTCATTCATGCCTTATTTACAGAATGCCTTGGCCATATGAGTAGCTCTGAATATGAGTAGCTCTGACCAGTGAAATAGGAGTAAACGTGATGTATAGCATTGCTCACTGGAAGCCTGTAGAGCATTCATTGCATGGTTGCAGCATTGCTTTTCTTCTTTCATAAGATCAAAATAGGGCTGTTCTTTAAGCCTTGGTCCAGCAGTGAAGACAATAAGAGGCAAAGCCGCAACTGAACAGTGAAGGATGAGTAACATGTGCAAGAAATAAACCGTTGTTGCTGTAAGGTTGTTGCCACTAAGATTGTTGGGGTTGTTTATTACTGCAAAATAACCTAGAAAAACTATTAGCAAACTTAATGTAAACTCAAAAAAGAACTAAAGCACTCATATGAATAATTGTGCCTCTTAACACTCACATTCTAAGATAAGCTTCCTCCCTGCTTTTTTCTCCTTTTCTTTCATTTTTTTCTTCATTCATGTTTGTGTGTGTGTACACACATACATAAAAATTTGGTCATCCATAGTAAAATCAAATGTGCTTTTAATAACTTTAGAACTGATCATTTCAAAATACTGAGCATTCTTAAGCTGAAATTGAAACTTGGAAAAAACCACCACAAAGCTAACCTTAAAAATGGAAATAAAACAACCAAAAATGAAGATGGAGTCAATTAGATCTTGGAATTGCTAGGGCAAACAAAAGAAAAGTTTTAATTTTCTGTTTCCTGAATGTTCAATTTTCTTTTCTCTTTCTCTCCCTTGTTCAATAAAATGAGAAAAACTCTATGACTATATTTTATTTTCACCATTATTATACACAAGGTAGTAAGAATACTAATGCAACCAAGAATGATTTAAGTCTATCTCTATGCCATTCATGGAAAGAAAATCAATAACCATCCTGAAATTGATAATGTAATACTTCTCTATTAGATATGATATCACTAGTAATATTTCTGCTTAGTCAAGGAGGGGAAAATGACTCATTTGCTCATCTACTCTTCTTTTTTCTCATCAATTCTTTCTCTTGTCAGGACTGTGCTTTCCCTGGACATGATGAAAACACAAGATTGAGTGCCATCCTATTTATTGTTATGGTTTTCCTAATCTAAACTAAGCCTACTTTTGAAATTTCCTGGATGAAAAGGTGGTTAAATCCCAAATGCTTATGGTTCTTCAAAAATATAAACATTCTTTCCCTCTGGGATAATAGAAAGCATACTTTTAGAATGATTCTCTTGGTATTAATTCATATGCTCTATTTGATTTTTTCCAAACTGGTATTTATTCAGTGGTCATGCAACTTTAGAAATTAAGCTAACAAATGATAATCTCATCTCATATTTATTCTAATGAAAGAAATGGAAAGTAAAGGGCTCACAAAGTGTATGTGTAACTTTTTCCAGTGCTACCTTAATAAGCTTCCTTCCCCTAACCCTCAAAAGAGGATAGTCTTAAGTGCTTACAGTGAATTTGTAACAAGAATCTTTTTTGCCACCTCATTCTCTCTCTCTCTCTCTGTCTCTCTCTCTCTCTCTCTCTCTCTCTCTCTCTCTCTCTCTCTCTCTCACACACACACACACACACACACACACACACACACACACAGAACTGGTGTCTCAGGTTTCATTACTGCTGTAGACTCTTACCAAGGAAGAATAAAGCATCTTCTTTCTCCATACTTTCCCTGCTCCCTAAAAGTCAGAAATCCTCATTAAATTAATATTTTTTTAAAGTCTGTGTTCCCCCAAGTAAGTAATATATTCAAAAGGGAAATGAACAACATTTTTTAAAGGCGAGATTATTTCAGAGAGATAAGCAGTGAAAGTCCTTTTTTAGTGGGAGCAGGTGTGACTAGTCCAAGGGTTTGAAATTACCTGAGATTTGCAAAAGGAGCTTTGGCATTTCAGCTTGCTATGGAAAAGTGTGTCCAGATGGCATACATTGCCCAAAACTGGGAGTGGGTTACAAGATTGCTGTGTGCTTTTAGATGAAGGTCAGTGCAGAGAACTGGAATGGCATGAATATCTGAATTTGGTTAAACTCAGAGGAAACCAGTGCCTAAAATGTAGTCAACATCACTGCTCAATTGCAGCAGTGAGAAGCTAAAGGAGCAAGGCTAAGAATAAAATCATGATGAACTGTTTTTTAGGCATTATATAAACTCAGGAGTTTTTAATGTTTAATGAGAGAGTCTCAATATTGACTGAACTGAACTTAGTAAGTATTTAGAACCTTGGAGGATATTTGATTTAACATGATGAATCAAAATGAAATTCCTTAAACTTGAATATTAGGGGGGTAAAATTAATAACAGTTACACATAAAACAATTTGGGCACTATTATAAAAGTTTATGAAATATATATTTATGAGGAAGACTAAAACGCTTAGAATTTAGGGTTGTTAATTTTCAGATAATGACTTTTACTATGTTGGAGAATTAATGAATAGTGGGAACTGCCATAAAACCCTGTGGATTTGGGGAATACCAGTGATCTGATATGAGATTTAGTGTGAATGGGGCTTATTAAATATTTTTAAAACTGGGAGCAGATACATAGTGATTGGCAGAATGTTCATTAAGGGAAGAGAAATTGGCTTTTTTCAATAAATAACTTTGTTATTTGCAAGAGACTATTGAGAAATGACGAACAGGGAAGAAGATATGTAAGTCCCCTATCTCAGACTTCTAATTTCAAAAATGACTTAATCATCTCCATCGGAGAGACGAATACCTACTAGCCAATGTCCTCAGTGTCCTTCAGGAGTGTTTTCCAAATTATTTTTGCGGCTCCTTTGTGAGTCATGAAATCAATCTGGGAAATCACTATAGACATTAAAAAAAAATCAAATGAAAACATCTGATTGCATCACATAGAATAGGACTCTGTACTGTTTTATTTTTATTACATATATTTTTATATACCTATGTACACCTATAAATACATAAAAATTTGTATAAAGAGTCATAATGAAAACTGCATTTCTGACAGAAATTCAGATCAAATGAGTTGGAGACCTTTGTTTTATTTTACGGAAACTTCCATATTGCTCCTAGCTTAAATATCATTTAAATATGGGCTGAAATTTTAAGATAAGGGAAAACTACACTGCCAGTGAAATGATAAATCCCATGAACTCTGTTTGTTGAAGGGGATGAAACTTTGGGTTGATTGAGAAGTCCATTTGGAGAAGATTCACTACTAGAAGAACGGAAGGTGTCTGGGGTCCTGAAATACAAACAATGATGAAATGGGGTTAAAGTCTTGAGTTTGAGTCTATTTGAGTCTCAAAAAGTGTTCAGTGCCATGGCTGAATGTCTCAGTAGTTTAGAATAAGCTTCTGTTCAGGTCAGTTTTTAATATACCATCCAGAGGACTGGTTAAAAGTTTCTACGTTGACTCTCAGGCTGGAGGCTTTGGAGACTTGGCCTTGGCCAGAGGAGCCATAGACCCAGGGAGTATGGCCCAGGCCCAGCAGGAGCAGGCATAGGGAGGGGCTGCTCTGAGTAAACTCTCCACTGTGAGCTCAGCCTGGTGGAAACTGAACCCCTCCCTTCAACTGTTCAACTGTTTTCAACTTTAAATCTCATTAGAGAAGAAAATGAGGGGGAAGTGGTTGTTCACCCCAGGAGAGAGGGAGTCAGGCATGAAAGAGATGATTTTAGTGACCCAATTTCAGACTCTGCCAGCTAGGGCAGATGGAGACTTAATATACCAACTGAAGACTTGATTGTTGTTTCATGTATTCCATTAATCTGTACGTGGGTGCTCTTCCACAAGATCCTTGATATCCCAACACTTTGGTATCCGGGCAATCCTTTATCCACCATTTTGCAGTGGCCTGCACTATGCACTACAGAACTGAAGTCTCCTAAGGGAAGTCTGGACCTAACACAGGACTATAAAGCATACTGCTCAACTACAAAGAAGAACCATTTCAGATGTAGCTGTCTAAGATTCAAGAAAGCATAAGGGGTACTTACTTTACTTTGCAAGTAGGGAAGTTAGATATTTCATGCAGACTTCTCTTGCAGTTGTAGATGCTAAAACCTAAAAGCAGTCATAAAAGTTTCTAGGGCTGAGTCTGCGATGAATAGAAAGACATTTAAGAGGTAACTGTCAGTCAGTCTGAAGCCTCAGGGCCTATCAGACAGACAGTAGCCTCAGTAGCTATCAGAATTTCAGACTAGCATCAATGTGGCCAAGGGAGCAATAATCAAGATGGCAACAATCTTGCGGTGTAGACCAGGAACATTCCCTGCTTTTCTATTGTGACACTTGTCCAGAAATTTTATATTATACTGTGGATCTATTGTGGTGAGGAGACTTCAAAATGAGTGACACTGAATTTCTTACCATCCAGGCAGGTGGAAGTTCGAAGAAGATTAAATTTGATTTAAAACAATAATGGAATATGAAAGCTTGTATGCAGTGTTGTGATGTGATACACACATACACACATAAATATATATAGCATATTCATTTAAAATTAATGTATATTTCTAATGCATTTAGTTCTCATTTCAAATTTATTCATACACATTAGGTTTAGTGTAGAGTTTATGTGTATGGGCTCTGGAGTCAGATAGCTATAGCATGAATCTCAGCTTATTTACTATGTGATCTCGTACAACTTGCTTACCTCTCTGAGTTTTAGTTTCTCACCCATAAAATGAGGATAATAGCATGGTTGATGTGTTTAAGTGATTCTTGATTGCTAAATTTCTTAGAAATTTCTCTGGAACATAGAAACAATTTAGTAAATAATAGATCTCTTTAAAAGTTATCTTATTAAAGCATAAGCTATTTTCTCTTTTGAATACATGCATTTGACATTTTAACTTATTTTCTGTATTTTTTATTTGCTTATATATACAATTTACTCTCCAAACTGCACTTTGCTGTGTCACTTCATAAATTAGTTTTCACCCCGTGTACCTGTATACTTGCACCCCTTCCGCCAAATTCTTTGCTCAAAGTCTGACCAAGAGTTTATTTAGTGTTTTCTCCTCTTCCACTCTCAATTTTGTGTTTCTTATGTGGCAGTAAAAATTTTGGACACAATTTTACTTCTAGTTTCATGACTGTCTGAGACTGAGCATCAAGTTCCACTTTATTTATGTATCACTGAATTCTCCATCCCAATTCCTGATACTGGTTTCTAGGATGCACCTTGGTCTGTGCATTCAGTTAACAAACATTTTTTTTGCTTATTTTCGCTCTGCCAGGCAATGTGACAATCACTAAAGACTGTCACAGATAAAATAACCCCTGATATCCATTGATATAGCTATAAATCTTGCATTCACATGGTATGGCTTTACTAGCCAATAAAGTTCCCCTTTTACTTAAACCAATGTCTTAGTCTATCTGGGCTTCTATAACAAAATGTCACAGACTAGGTAGCTTATAAGCAGCTCAAGTCTATTTCTTACAAATCTGGAGACTGGAAAGTCCAAGATTAAGGTGCCAACAGATTCAGTGTCTGGTGAGAGCCTGTTTTCTGGTTTATATGTGACACCTTCTAGCTGTGTCCTCATGTACTGGAAGGATCAACACACCTCCCTGGGGACTACTGGTATCTTTGGATCTTTGTCCTCTCCAAATCTCATGTTGAAATGTGACTCCCAATTTAGGAAGTGGGGCCTAATGAGGTGTTGGATTATGAGGGCATATTCTTCTTGAATGGCTTGGTGTTGTCCCCTTGGTAATGAGTGAATTCTCACTCTATTAGTTCATGAGAGAGAGGTTGTTTAAAAGAGCCTGGCACCTCTTTTCTCTCTTGCTCTCTCATAACACCTCTGCTTCCTATTTGCCTTCTACCTGGTTGAAAGCTTCCTGAGGCCCTCACCAGAAATAGCAGCCAGCACTGTGTTTCTTGTACAGTTTACAGAAACATGAGCCAAAATAAACCCTTTTTCTTTATAAATTACCCAGCATCATGTGTTCCTTTGTTGCAATGCAAAATTGACTAAAATAGTCACTAATCCCATTTATGAGGGCCCCACCCTTATGACTTACTCACCTCTCAATGGCCTCAACTCCTAACACCATCACATTGTGATTAAGTTTCAACATAAGAATTTAGGGGCTGACTGGATGGGACACAAACATTAAAACCATAGCAACTAGTTTGAGTTGTGTTTCTTTCACTTATAACCCTAAATGTCCTGAGTAGTATGAGACCATTTCATCATATACTAAATCTTCATGTGCTCTAGAGTCTTATTCTGTATGATCTATTCTACTGTATTGATTTATTAATTTGTACCAGTCCTTGGACTTGAATTGCATTGTTTTATTATAGTAGCTTTTCAATATATTGTAATGTATTACTGGAAGAGTCTTCACTAATCACACTTTCACATTTTGGAGGTAGTATTTTATATGGTGATTTTTCCAAGTGACTTTTAGATTTATTTTGTCTTGTTTTATTTATAAAGCATAGAAAAGAAACAAGAACTCTGAGGTATATGTTGGTGTTTTTACTTCGAATATAGTAATGTTATGTGTTAATTTTGAAGGATTGAATCTATACAATATTGAATTTGACAATACAAGAGAACAGTGTATTTTTCATTTATTCAAATCATTTACAATACTTAAGTGAATTTTAATGTTTACTTCCATACAGTTATATTGATTTCTAGATTGATTTACTCAGAAATAAGAAAATTATTTTTTATACTTTCTTTTCTTATCTTTTCTTTTTTTTCTTTTCTTTTTTTTTTTCTGAGACAGAGACTTGCTCTGTTGCCAGGCTGGATTGCAGTAGCATGGTCACTGTGACCTCCGCCTCCTGGGTTCAAGCAATTCTCCTGCTTCAGCCTCCCGAGTAGCTGAGACTACAGGTGCATGCCGGCATGCCCAGCTAATTTTTGTATTTTTAGTAGAGATGGGGTTTCACCATGTTTTCCAGAATGGTCTTGATCTCTTGACCTTGTGATCTGCCCTCTTCGGCCTCCCAGAGTACTGGGATTACAGGCGTGTGCCACTGTGCCTGGCCCCTTTTGTTATACTTTCTAAATTGTTATTATTTGTGTAAATGAAGGATTTTTATTTTTATAATATGCTATCTTCAGGTATTCTCATTTTAATTTCAATTGTTTTTGTTTCCAAGTATTCAAACTATCACTGCACATAATAAAAAGTTTGCTTCTCACTTAATTTTCTTGTTTAATTACATTGATGTACCTTTCAAACAATTTAAAATAAAGTGGTAACAATTGTCTTACTCTTGACTTTACTAAGAATGCTTATTACACAATTAGGCATAAGGTTTCTGCCTCAAAAAATTATATACGGATGTTTAACTTTTAAAATGCCTTCTTTGTATTATATGAAGATCTTTATTTGACCAAATTTTATATGATTTTTAATTGATATCAAACCCTTTTTTTTTTTTTTTTTTTTTTTGCGTTTCTAGAATAAATCTTTTTTGGCTTTGCTATGCTCTTTTAACCTTTATTTGCATTGAAAATAATGAGAAAGAATCACATGTTGTCTCATGCTAGATGTTTTTGAAACTTTTTTTTTACCCCTATCTGTAGAATAATTTAAATTACAGAAAAATAACTGTTTTTTCAAATAAATGTACTTTTTGAGAATACCAACAAGAGCTTGTCACCATTCTTTTAGAAAAAATGTACCTACATTACACAGAAAGCCTAAGAGCCCAACTAATTTCCTAAAGTATAACTGAAAAATATGAACATTTGTAAGAGTAACAAACTATTTGTTTAGAATTTAATTTGATTAAAACATAACTTCTAATCTCAAAAATTACCTGCTTTGTATGCAGAAAAACCTTTTCTTCTATTTAAGTCAGTTTTTTCACTTAAATTGCTTTAATTCTGTAAAATTTCCTCCAGTATTTTTCTTAAAAAAATGTGGATACTAATTGCACAGCACTAGTCAAAAAGAAGATCATGCTGAAAGAATGGTAGAGGATAATACATAATGGTACAGTTGCCTTGTGTATGACACTGTGATGTACTGATCATCAGCCATATCTATGCCTGACTCTGCCAGCCTATCAAGTGCATTTTTATTGCAACTTGAATATTTTCATGCACACCATTTTCATGAAAATGTTTTACAAAGTTTAGGGGATTAAAATGTAATTTTTTCCTATATTACCATTGGCCAAACCTTTGTACTGAGAAATAAATATATTCTCAGAAATTTGGGTATTGAAAAGCAAGAGGCTTTCTATCAAGAAAAGTTTCCATTTTAAAAACATAGAAATAATTTCTATTCTTGCAAAAACCTATGTGTAATCTTCAAATCTTTTAAAAGTTCACATTCCAAAACAAGTTTTGAAATATTTGTTGCTAGAGTTTCATCTTTCCTAGAGAATTTTCATGTCTACTACTACCACAGATAAATTTTGGAGCACTTATTATTAAGATAAACTTGATAAGACAATTTTTACTTGTTCATGTATTGAAATTGTACAATTTCAGATATACTAGATGTGTCCTCCAAGTTATTTATAACTGGAAAAAATTCAACTTCATATTTAAATATTAAGAAATACTTAAATGCAAGTAATAGAAGGGCAATGGCAGTAATAGAATCTTTACTTCTGAGGTAGTTTTAGTCAAAAGTAACAGATGCCAAGAACAAAATGGAACTTATTGAGATAATATCGATGCCTAATGAGATCAGAGACCTTAGGAAAGGTTGACACCAGGACAGTTCCAGAAAACTTTCCAGCAGAGACACTGGGACTTCTTTTTGGAGCCAGAACTTTAATGTGACCCATCTCAAAATAATTCTGTCTCTTTCTCTTTCCATTAAAAACTTTAAGTTCCTGGATAATCTTAAGTTCCTGGATAATCTTATCAATTGTCCACTGTTGCTTTGATATTTGATGGCCACTGTGAGATGGTCATCAGATGCAAGTGTGGTCACCCTGGACCTATTCCTGTATATCAATGACAATAAGTACAGTAAAGGGCATTTTTAGCTATATTGATGTTTTTCAAAACTATCATATTGCAATTCTAATCTTTCTGGAATTATTCACTATGTTCACTATTCCCAGTAGTGAGCAAAATAATTTTTACCATTTATATTTAATTGTGAGTTGTTTAATTCTATCCTGATTATGGGTGTTTCAGGACAAATATCCTACTTGGGAATTCCTTATATCTTAAGCAAATGAATGAGAAGAATGGAAAATTGGCTGCTGTTTTTTAAATATAAAAATATCTACAAATAATAGAATTAATAACTATAAGTTAAAATTGAATTTTTAAGTCGGCATCTAATATTAAAATGCTATTTTTTGAAGCAAAGTTTCAGTTTGTAGGATTGCATCCTGAGACTGCATTATCCCCATCAACCAAAATCTTTACTTCTAGGAGTTAAAGAGTGTATGTTTCTTTATATTGATAATTTACTTTATATTAATAAGTAAGAAAGGCTTAATGACTTGGTAATGGTTACATAATCTGACATGCCTTATATAAGTATCTACATACAAACCTCTTGGAGGTGTCAGACAAAGAAGATCTTGAATCTTTTTTTTTTTTTTTTTTTTTTTGAGACGGAGTCTCACTCTGTCACCCAGGCTGGAGTACAGTGGCCGGATCTCAGCTCACTGCAAGCTCCGCCTCCCGGGTTTATGCCATTCTCCTGTCTCAGCCTCCCAAGTAGCTGGGACTATAGGCGCCCGCCACCTCGCCGGGCTAGCTTTTTGTATTTTTTTTTAGTAGAGACGGGGTTTCACCGGGTTAGCCAGGATGGTCTTGATCTCCTGACCTCGTGATCCGCCGTCTCGGCCTCCCAAAGTGCTGGGATTACAGGCTTCAGCCACCGTGCCCGGCCTAGATCTTGAGTCTTTACTGATCTCAGTTGAAAGTGAGTTTCTATTTTGTGTGGCATGTATTTAAGATAGTGAACACAGGAGCAATTTGTTGCTGCATAATTATGTTAAACTTTTAAAATTTGACTAGCGTATTTTAATGATAAATTTCTAATAAAATTAAATAACTTTATAGAATTTCAAATTTATTTCTACATTGCAGAAGTTCATTCTATGATGGTTATATTTTAACTTTGAAACACTGACTCTGGTTGAATATTGATTTTAATTCTCAGGCATTCGACAGTTCACCAAAAAATCTTCCCAGTATACCTCTGTTACAGATAAAATTCTCTATAAATAGTGATTGTAATAAGGGAATATGGTGACTTGCATGCTTTTTGGAAAATAGCCATCTTTTATTAGGAGAAGTCTTCCCTTGACTCAGGAGCAGTTTCAGGATACACATATATAGAGTAACAAGGAAAGGAGAGGATATATTATCTATTCACTAATTCTGGCAATTTGGGATGCTTGAGGTAGATACTAAATTTACTTCTTATTTTTTTGGATATGGTAGACCTTTGGAATCTACATTCAACATTTGATACTGTGTGTGACTCCTGATGAACACACTGAAGATACATGATGTCCAGTAATTTTTACTGGGGATAATACCTACAACATACATAAGATGATGTTATTAAAATACATTTAAAATTACACAAGACATTTTAAAATTATTTAAGATAATGTATATATGTATATAAAGAGTTTAACACAAATTTCAATTACCTTGGCTTAAGATGATTTAACTGTTTTGTAAGTTAACCAAGACCTACCATTTACTTCCTATTTAGTCTATGGATGAATTTGGCATTTTTCAAAATCTTTTGATATCCTCTGAGAACTTATTATTATTTGTACTAATTTACTTCCTAATGAAAGCTATTAACAAGATTTACTTTAGGAAGTTTATCTCAGACAGGTTTATGTCCTTATGGAGCTTACAGTGTTAATTTCAAAGATGAAAAGGAAAGTTGTGTGTGAAACAGCACAGAGTACTTTGCAGCTTGTCCCAGGAGTTATAGGGAGTAGCATGGACTGTGGAAACTCACATAAAGTTCTTCAAAATTTACTGTTTCTTTTGCTTCCTGAAAATTGTAATCAGTTCCTCTTTTCCTACTTAACATGAAAAATAAGTCCAATGGAATAGTCCATTGATTAATAAAGTTCTATTATTTTTTCTTCATGAAATGACTAATTTAACAAATTAAATCCTTCATTTATTAAGGTTTGTCTATTACTTATTTTTCCTCTATTCATTTCTGTACAAACCACAGAGATTTATCTTTAAATTTTCTTAGCACTATCAATGTACCTATTTAAGGATAATTTACAGCACATCTGTTGTATTAGTTGGGATATTTTAAATTAAATTCACAGAACTTTATATTAAGTAGAAATACCAATTTCAGAGAAGGACTCTTAATATCTTTATTTAGACTATGATATGGTTTGGCTCTGCATCCCCACCCAAATCTCATCACATATTGTAATCCCCACCTGTCGAGGGAGGGACAAGGCGGGATATGATTGGATCGTGAGGGTGGTTTCCCCCATGCTGCCCTCAGGATACTGATTAACTCAGCAGAGCTGATGGTTTTAAAGTGTGACACTTCATTCTTGCACTTCTCTCTCCTGCCACTATGTGAAGAAGGTCCTTGCTTTCTCTTTGCCTTCCGCTATGATTGTAAGCTTTTTGAATCCTCCCCAGCCATGAGGAACTATGAGCCAGTTAAACCTCTTTCTTTTATAAATGACTCAGTCTTGGTATTTATTTATAACAGCGTGAACATGGACTAATATAGACCATATACATAATGCTTAACAAATTATTGCCAGAAGAATGTGGCATATACCATGATGGGTCTAGATTGGGCTGTTTGCCTGGAGAAGAGGTGCTGGAGGTAGAAGTTGAAGATGTGTGTATAAGACAAAGGAGAAAACTGCTAATAAAGTCTGACATGTAGTTTCCTTAAGAATAAAACTTTGTATTTTATTAATTTTTTTTTTACTATTCTTGGAAGATAATCTGGTTCAAAACTAATGCTCAAAAAATCATTGTTGAATAAATGAATGAATGGGCAATACTGTTTCCTAATACAGTACATTACACTTCTGAGGAAGTCTGCTAGTCTCTAGGACTGCAATGATTATCTATCCTTAGGTCAACGGTATAATAAAACATTATTAAATATTGTGACTCAGATTTGCATAATACAAATTACTATAAAATGAATGAATCCATAATTCTTCAGTATATGGTGGTTTTTCTAACTGCATTGGAAATCCTTTGAGAACAAAGATAACAGGATCTACTTTTTGGTGTCCCAATATAGCAAGTAAATGTTCACCTAGTTAAATTGTGTTTAAATGAAGAGGGTTAAAAATGAGAGTTACTAACCAAATAGAGGATTAATTTGGTAGAATCAGCTCTAGTCTTGGTAAAGCTATATTTTTGTAGAATCTGATATATTCAGTTCTGTTAGTTAAATTAGCTACTTAATTATATTTGTTTATTTTACTTGGTGAGTTATGTCTTCTGTAAAGTCTGAAGATAAGAGAGTGAATTATTATAATATACATCCAAAAATTACATAACACTTACATAAAACTTCTATTTCATAGGTGATTCATTTACTTGTGATTAGATATTTAGAAGATTGCAGCATGTGATTTAAAGATAAGGAATTCAAAGTTTTTCATCCACATTTATGTTCTTTGAGAATGAACAACTGTAGACTGTGAGACATGAGTTCCTTTTTCTATACCTTTCTATACTTTGAATGAGTACTCAAATAATTATCTGATTTCTATTTGTGATGTAACCATGAATTAATTACACACAGAGATTCTGTTTTGAATGAATTTTGTTATTCGACATTTTTGTGCCTCCGTAATTTTTTTTTCTATTCATACTTTAATATTCTACTTTTTGGAATATATTAGAGTAGTGAAACAAGACATTTATTATTGCTAATTAATGGTCATGTTACATGGTACAGAGATATAATTTTAAATAGTTATTTTTATTTAAACTATGGAGTGCTTTGATTAAAAATATTTTTCTAATATTATAAATATTTGATCCTTGAAAAAATTGAAAACTATGTTTATAAATGGAAATCAGAATCTTTGGGCGGGAGGTCTTTGGCAAGGCAACTATTTTACACAAAAAACTGAATCTGTTGGAGGGGACCACACGAAGCCTGCATCCCCTTTTGAACCCTCAGTAGCATCCTCCAGGGAAAGTCACTGTGTGAAGATTGTTTAAATGGCAGCAGTAGGGTGCATAGTAACACTGCTCCTCAAAGGAAGCATCACCTTATCTGACCCAGTCTTGGAGTTCATCAGGCGCCTGCTTCAGGCAGTTGACAATAATGTCTCCAACCATTTCCATTTTTTAGTATTCAGGAGCCATCTGAGGACATATTTTGTTTGTATAATAGATCTTCACAGGATATGTTTTGTCAAAACTTAGGATGAACTTGGTCTTTTGCTGGATTTTAACTTCTAATAATACATAACTGTAAGGATTTCTCAAGTTCTACGATGGCATTGATTAAGCATCCTAACAATGATATCAAACAACATGCTCTTACCTACCTGAGCCATTTGGTAGAATAAAAGGTAACATCTTTTGGATTTGCAATAAGTATTTGAAGGGTTGCCCTTTTCATTTAACCTTTTCTGAGACATTAAGTGTATGGTTTTCTTCCCCTATAATGAGCTTCTTAATTTAAAGAAGTATAAAGTTCTGTTTGTGAAAAAAGCTATTATGCAGCTTGAAATGTAGGCAGCAGTTACCTTGTTCAGTTTGTGGGAAATGATCCTCTTGGCAAAGCACTTCAAATGTAAAGAGCTGTGGAGAACACAGAGTTGGTTTGATTAATACAACATGTTCAGTTATGATTCTGTCTATCATGGTCTTGATTAATACAGCATGTTCAATTATGATTCTGTCTATCTCTTCACTGCTTCAGTGGTTAAGCATATGCTGTTAGCTGCCAGAGTCAACACTCATATTTTTCTTTCCATTCTGTGAGAAGAACTTCAAATGTTATTATTCGTAAAGTCCTTTACTGCAGCCTGTTGGTCTGGACTAAGAACACACATTATTCCATGTCATATTAAGAATTCCAACCTAGAAAGGTCAACTGTTAGGTTTATCACAGTGTTTATGGAGGTGCCGATTATTTACTTACAACTGCAGAGTATTTGAGATATTTTTTAAATTTATAATTTAGAATGAAATATTGCTACAGTAATTAGCAATGTAGCATCATTATAATTTATCTACTACAGCATTTTTTTCATTATTTGTCACTCCTACTTCTGTACATACGAGCAAACCAGTGATTATAAAAAACAATTAAGTATAAGTTGATAAATGACAGTATTCATTTCCCACTTTATTTTATTTTTATACCTTAAGTTCTAGGGTACATGTGCACAATGTGCAGGTTTGTTACATATGTATACATGTGCCATGTTGGTGTGCTGCACCCATTATTATTATTATTATTATTATTTGAGACGGAGTTCTACTCATGTTGCCCAGGCTAGAGTGCAATAGCGCAATCTCGGCTCACTGCAACCTCCGCCTCCTGGATTCAAGCAACTCTCCTGTCTCAGCCTCCAGAGTAGCTGGGATTACAGAAATCTGCCACCATGCCTGGCTAATTTTTTGTATTTTTAGTACAGATGGGGTTTCACCATATTGGCCAGACTGGTCTTGAACTCCTGACCTCAGGTAATCCACCTGCTTAGGCCTCCAAAAGTGCTGGGTTTGCTGGTGTGAGCCACCGCACCCAGTCCATTTCCCACTTGTTTTTTTCACCTTTGTTTCAAAGCATTTGTTTGTGTCATACCGAAAGCAGTTTTCTAGCCAATCAATCAACATTTTAAAAAGAAAGGAAAATGAAAAAACTGATTATTAATCATGAAATTCCTACAATGTCTTATCTAGACTTACCAAAAAAAAGTAATATGGAAGGAAATTGATAATATAAGGTACAGTATGATTTGGAAATACTTGCTTTTTACTTTTGTAAGACAAAAATATTATATCTTTCATTTGTTTTTATCCAGTAATAAATGAATTTTAAAAGGATAGAGACCCAGGGTAGAGTAATATGCTGTCATAGTATTCAGTGCTAGCCAACCTAGAAAGTCTGAGGGACACAAGACTTCTGCTTTTGTGATATCAATTGCAAAGTCAGGAGATTGAAAAACCATCTTGTTTGATAATTCACTGGAAATATCCGCAGAACTTATGGCTACATTTATTACAGAGAAAAGATACAGAAAATCAGCCAAGGGAAGAAATAGTCAAGGCAGAGTCTGGGAGAGATCCAAATATGGAGCTTCTGTTTATTCTCTTCCCATGAATTCATGAATGGTGTTATCTCCTCCTTGCCACAGAGTGTAACAATATCTACAAAATATTGCCAGTCAGGGAGGCTCACCTGAACCTAATCAACTTGGAAATAACAAAAAGAACAAGAGAAGACAAATGAAAAAAAGGACTGTGATATCAAGACCATTGGGCTATAAAATCCTATCTTTATGTTTGTAATGGAATCATTTAAATAAATAAGAGAAATGTGCAATGCTATACTGCTGGCCAAAATAATACGTCACACTCAAAAGGAATTAGCATTAGGAAACCTAAGTTGAAGAATGCTTTA